TAGATAAAGCTTTTAAACCTCCTCTCATATTCTCCATTTGTTGTTTATATAAAATTTCATATTATCAAACTAATATATATGTATTGTTATTTTTAATCATTATTAATAGTTATTGTCACTTAATTTTATACGTACTACTACTATACTAAATTTAGCTTAGCTTTTACTATACATTTTCATTGCATCAACCTGTATCTTTCCAGCAATAGTGCAGTCTTATATCTTTTGCCATTTGTAGCATTAATATTCTAGTTACTTTCTTAATAAATCTTGTATGAACTTCTCTTCGCAACATGATTTTCTTTTCGTATCTCATAAAAGCTCAAAACCCAGCATCTGCTCTTTCCATCAGCTTATCTTTGGTTATCACTAGTACTTCTGTCAAGATTTCTCTCCTTATCTCTGTCAATTTTTCTCTCTTTTCTTCTTCTGTGATTTGAAGTCGGGGGTAGAGTTCCAATCCATCTATCTCCCATTTTGATATTCCAATCTTGCCATTACCAACCAAGCTCACTTTATTGTCAGTATCCACAGTTTTCTTATCTCTTTGCTCATTTTCTCTTCCATTTTTTGAACTCTGTCTTCCACATTCTTCATTTGATAAACATCCTCAGTTTTTCCATCAATTTTTTTTTCTGTTTTGTATTCCATATTCTCTTTTCAATTCTCTCTTTCACAACTAATAGATTTTGAATTTGAAACATAATCATTTGCAATGTTACAGTTTCTTTTTCCTGCTGCGCCATTCTTCCAGTTTTGCAGGCACTGCCTCCATAGGATTCAAGGCTATTTTAATAAACTTGAAACAGGTTCATAAGTTTAATGTAGATTAATTTCGTCGCTTACAGTCTTCCATCTTCAATTTTAATTTAATTTAATTTTTGGGGGTAGTCTCTTTTTCTAATAATAAAATTTCCTCACCAATTTGACACACTTCCTTTTTTCGCTTTCTTTCCGGAGCTGTCCCAACTTCAGCAGCTTCATTAGCTGCATTTTTATTGCTGGAAAAAAAGGCTATTCCTGGATCTTTCAGGGACTTTGAGGTGTCCCTGAGATCAGCAGGAGGCGCCCTTCTCAATCACCGTCTCTGCGAGATGGTTTAGATCCGAAGGGACCGTCCCTTGGCAGAAATATCGACTACGATCTCAGAGCACCAAGATCGCACATCACGACGTCAGCCCCTTTCTCCCCTCCCACAGGTTGAGTTCACTCGGGAAGTCGAAGAGGGGGATGAGTCCAGGAGTCTGAAGCACAACCGGCGCATCCTCTTCCAGCGCATGGCACCGTATCCTCAGCGCAAGGTCATCACCTTCAACCGCTACACAGACGACTTCGAATTCCAGGTCAACTACGCCGACATGGGCTTCCTGAGCGACAGCGACCTACGGTGAGGCATTTCTGGGCTGGCTGTGGGAGTCCAGGCGCTTTTGACTGCGTAGCTTCCAGGGATGGGCGGAAGCTCCAGCCTCCACCTGCTTCGCTTTCAGAGCTGGTGCTGTCCCCTGGGCTCGACACAGTCTGTCCCCTCCGCTCCTTTTGGGACCTGCGGGCGGCAGTTGAGGACAGAGATCCTTGCCCAGCTTGCCTAGGGGTTGGCATCTCGGGGGCAGAGCTGGAAGCCGGCTGGAGGGTGAGGAAGGGCCTCCCTGCTCACCCATCCCCATCTTGCTGCAGAGCTTTTGGGTCCCTGAACCTCACGAAGGTGAAGCTGCGCGGTGTGGGGGAGAGCTTCAAGAAGCACCTGGATTACGAATCCAAAGGCATCAAGGCCCATTTCAATATGGATGAGAGTGGCGTGCTGAGTCTTGATCGAGTAAGTCAGGAGGGCCCCTGGCCTTGGTTGGTTTCATTGTTTCCCATTGGGATCTACTTTGTGAAAGCTTTCCGTGTGGTTTCCGTGGGTTTATTTCCTTCAGAGTGACAGCAGTCCTGATCGGGGAGGGGTTGAGAGGGGCCAAGGGCCACAGGTTGCCCACACCTGCTGCTGAGCCTCCAGCCCCTGCCCACCCCACAGGAGCGTTTCTCCTGCCCTCTTGCAGGTGGAGTCTGTCTTTGAGACCGTGGTAGAGGAGAAAGCAGAGGAGGAATCCACACTCACCAGTAAGAGCCACCGCTGGGCTTCGCAGGGGGTTGGGCCAGGGGACAAGACGGGGCCTTGTCGGAAGCCCTTCTGAGGCTGGTCTCTTCTTCTGGGCAGAACTTGGAAACACCATCTCCAGCCTGTTTGGGGGAGGCAGCCCTGGGACAGAAGCCCCCGAGAACGTGACGGAGGCTGTTCATGTGAGTCAGGGCTGGAGCCTGACGCAGGCTGGGCTGGAGTTAGCATCAGCAAGGGTGGGTGGGTAGGGGGGGGAGAGTTGAGGGTACCCTGGGTTTTGTATGGGGCTATACGGACATTCAGGAAGCTGGTCTTGTTTGGCCCTGGGTTTTATGTGCCTTGGGCCAGGTCTCCGGATCTCTCCAGAGCCCCCCACGGCTTGGCTGAGGGGTCTGGCTGTGCAGAAGCGTCCTCAGGGCCCCTCGTGGTTTTCCGCCCCCAGGAGGAGGAAGAGGCTCAAGCAGAGTTTGGGAGAGAGGATCAGAAGGACCGTGCTGGGCCTGCGAGGGAGGAGGGTGAGAAGCAGCCGCCCAGGTCTCAGGAGAAACCTGCTGCTGGAGAGGCTTCGGCCCCTGAGGGCCCGCAGGAGGAGGACGCTGCTGCAGAAAAGGGGGGGTCCAAGGTGAGGCCTTTTCTGGCAGGGAGGGGTGGGAGGCTTTTACGTGTGTACAAGTGGAGCAGGGCACTGGTGTCTCCCGCCCTGTGCCACCCTTCCTCAGTGGGCTGCTTTGAATCCTTGTCTCCCCTTGATGGCTGATGTCCATCTGCATTGGCTCTCAGACCACAGGCCCTTCCGTGGCCCCACAAGGAGCCCCCCATAAGTGACATCCCCATAAGCATAAGTGTGCCCCCATAAGTGTGACCCAGTGAGGCGGGGCTCCTGGGAGCGCTTACTCTCAGAGGCAGAGGAGACGCTCACTCGCCTCTGGCAAAAGGAAAAGGGAGCAGCCAGAAACGCCGTTGCTGCCCCCCAGGAAGCCCCAGAGAAAGCAGAGGCTGGGAAGGGGGAGGAGTCCCCCGCGAAAAGCCCCGCCGAGAAGGCAGCCGTGGCGCTGGAGGAGGAGAGGAAGGCCAGGAAGCAGCGGCTGGTGGAGGAGATTGCAGTGGAGCTGGACGTGCACGATGTGCTGGAGCTGCTGCCGGAGGAGCTGCAAAGCTCCAGCCTGAAGTAGGTGGGGGGGAGGCCGGCCCCTCCTTGCCTTGTGGGGGATGGGTGCTCTGGCCCTTCGCCCTCCTCCTCATCCCTCCCGACCTCCCAAGGTTGCAGGAGCTGACCGCAAGGGACCTGGAGAAGCAAGAGAGGGAGAAATCGGCCAACAGCCTGGAGGCCTTCATTTTTGAGACCCAGGTACGAGGGGAGGAGGGATCAGAAAAGCCTGCCCCCCCCCCCCCCAGCCTACCCTAACTGACCTCCAAGGACACTGCCAAGGAGCAGCCAGGAGGAGGAAATAAGGGTGGCTGCTGGAGAGGCAGGCCCCCCCAGGGCTCCTCAAGGGACTTCAGAGGAGTGAGTCCCCCTCGTGCCCTGCAGGACAAGCTCTATCAGGAGGAGTACCAGTTTGTGGCAACGGAAGAGGAAAGGGAGGAGATATCCAGGAAGCTGAGTGAGGCTTCCAGCTGGATGGAAGACGAGGGCTACGCAGCCCCAACCAAGGTGAGTGGCACCAGTGCAAAGGGGCTGAGAGGCTGGAGCAGGAAGAGGCGGGCAACCCGTCAGTTGAAAAGGGGGCTTCAAGCAGTGCCTTCAGATGGTAGCTGAGAGGGAGGGAGGGGCTGCTTCGGATGCCCCTCCCTCGTCAGGGCAGCTCACAGGAAGAGCACTCGGCAAAGAGTTGGCCAGTCAGACAGGTGGCGTGGCACGTGGCCGATAGCCTCACTCCTTCGGCACAAAAAGCCCCATACGAGAGGCCACTGTTATTGGCTCTCCTGCCACCCGTGTTTCCTTATGATGAACGGTGGGGCTTGCTGAGACCCGGTTCGTTGGCCCAAGAACTGGGTCAGCTTCTGCATGGACCCCTCTGGCTCGTGTGGGCAGTGGCTTCCCTATCAGAAGCCCTGAAAGGGTGGCTTTGCGCCAGGCTCCACTTCCTCTCCGTTGCCATTCCCAGGAGCTGAAGGAGAAGCTCTCTGAGCTGAGGAGATTGTGCCGGAGCCTCTTCTTCCGGGTGGAGGAGAGAAGGAAGTGGCCAGACCGCCTGGCTGCCCTGGAGAGCCTGCTGAATCACTCCAGCATTTTCCTCAGGTAGGCAGGAGGCAGAGCAGGGGCCCTAGACCTCCCCCCACCCTGGGGAGACTCTTCAGCTTCTGCAGCTGGGATTGCGCCTGTTCAGAGTGCCCGGGATGCAGCCAGGGCCTTGCAGCTTTTTACCTCTTCCATGGCGTTTCGTGAACTGTGGGGCATCCTTGTTTCTGTAAGTGGAAGCTAGAAAAGGAATTTCTGGGAAAGGCTTCAAATTGTGGGGCCTCTGATTGCTGACTTAAACGGAACTGCAGGTCTATTAACAGAAATAGAGGGTCTGCTCTTATGTCCAACTTGCTGGCTTCAGACCAGCTCTGCCCAGCATCAGCTGCCCTCTCCCTGGTGCAATTGAGGAGGGGGGGGGGCGCTGCCTTGAGCCAGAGGCACCTGTGCCTGAGTTTTGCTTCAGGTGGGTTGAGCTCCTTTCTGCTCCTTTCAGGGGGGCCCGAATGATCCCGGAGCCTGATCAGATATTCACCGAAATCGAGCTGAGCACTTTGGAGAAAGCTATCAATGAGACGGAGGTCAGTGCAGCCGCGGGAGGTGACCACAATGTTGGGGATTCCAGCCCTCCTATGCGTTTGGGAGCCGCACTTCATCCCAAAAAGCACAGAGGGCTTCTGCTCCAGGAGGTCTCGGTGCTCTTCCTGTCTCCGAGTTCCTTCACTGAGGCAGGAGGTCAATTCCCCCAGGGAACCTTGTTCCACACGGCTCAGCCAGGACTTGTGGCCGGTCCGATTCCTCAGGGGGCCTTCTGAACTCCACTGCCATCGGCCTTGACTGTATGAAATGCTCAAAGGCAGCTGTAACATCCCTCGGGTGTCGTTCCCAAAGCGAGGAAGGGGCTTCTTAGGCAGAAGGCGGCCAGCGGTGAGTGGCCGGGAGACAATGACGGTTGCCTTTTCCCAGGTGTGGAAGAACGAGACTCTGGCCGAGCAGAACAAGCTGCCCCCCACCGCCAAGCCCGTTCTGCTTTCCAAAGACATTGAGGTGAAGATCACAGGCTTGGACCGGGAGGTGCAGTACCTTCTCAACAAGGCCAAGTTCACCAAGCCCAAGAAGAGGGAGAACGCCACGGGGTCTCCGGAGAATGGCAAGACCGCCCCTCCCAAGCAGGAGACGCGGGAAGGTGAGCAGGCCTTCTGGGTTCCTGGGCTGGAGCCCCCCCCCCCCCCCGGTGCCCATTGCTAGACTGCCCGTTGGGGGAGGGAGGGCTGCCTTCTCTGCAGAAAGGTTTCTCCTCCACAACTCTGCTCTTTCTGCCAAGAGCAGATCGACCAGAAGATGCCAGCCCAGCCAAAGAGCCCCCCACGGAGGAGGAAACGCCACTGGACAATGAGCTGGACCCAGATGGAGGTGAGGGAACCCCGCTGGAGGGGGAGGAGGAGGAGGAGGAGGGGAAAGCCTTTCCTTGGGTCTTCCTTGGGTCACCCCGGAGTCCACATTCACCCAGAGCCCCAGGCCACAGCAGGGGCATTTACCTGCAGTCCTCACTCGCTGGCCTTGTTCATCTACTGTTGCAAATGTCCTGGAAGATCTGCCCATCCCACCACCCCAGGGCCACCTGATCGCCGTTTGCAACCTTTCTTGATGGCTTCCCACAACCGAAATCAGTGAGGAAATCTTTGCTCTGGTCGGCTTCCCCAGCCTCCTTGTGCTTGCACTGACCCTCAGCCTCTTCTCCACCATCCTGGCTTCATGCAGCGCTGGCTGGGCCCTTCTTCCCATGACCTCCCTGCAGCCACCCCCACCCCAGGATCCCCAAGCTCCTGTCTCCTGCCACTTCCCAGTTAGTGACCCATTTGTCTTGGAGTTAGGATATCAACCGGTCATTGCAGCCACCTTGCTCAGTTACAGCGGTGCCGGCCTCAAAGGCCACGGCACCAGGCGAGCACCTGCATCATTTGCAGCACGGCTAACATTGCAGGCAGAGGATGGAAAAATAATGCTAGTTGAATAATGCAAAGCTGCTTAAGTGGGCTGGGACTTTCCACAAGCACCTGGCAGGGCTGGGCACAGTCTGGGCAGGGAGTCCCACGCGAGTCCCTTGATTGGCCAGAGACCATGACGGGGTGGGGACTGTCCTGGAAGAGCAAAAGGCCCAGCGGGGTGTTTCTGAGATTGTTTCCTCATCTGAACATCTGTGTGTTCGTTTTTGTCTTCAATGTAGGCACGCAAGCAGATAAGACTGCAGAGACAAAAGAGACCAGAAGTAATGATGAATTGTAACACTTCTTCAAGTCCCTGTGTGCATCATCAACATCTATTTATTTACAGTTAATTTTACTGTTTTTATGATGGACATGGTTAGTGGAACATGGCACACAAACTGATGACAAAATAGAATTGTATTTTTCCCCCTTTTTGTTTGGGGATTTGGTTCTTGCTCATTTGGAAATTTTGTGCTGTATCAACTCCTTTCTTTAAAGACGACTTTCAGCTCTTTGGAAATGTTTGTGGGGCCTGACCCAGCTTTTTCCTGGGATCGGCCTTTTTCACCAACGGATTAAATCTACCTGGATTCCTCCAGGACACCACAGCACAGCGTACCTGCTCTGGGCTCTGCTTTTGATGCAGAAAGCAGGGCCTGCAGCGGCTCTCCTTACCTGAAAAACCTGGTCGTCTTACTCTCCGCCGCTGGCTGCTGCCGTTGTCTTTGTTCCGCAGCTCCATGTCACAAAGTCAGGTGAAACATAAATGGGTAGGCAGGAACGGTCTGAAAGAAGCCTTAAATGCTCCCTGGTGTATCAGGAGGTAACACAGAACAGCCGGGCGGCCATCAACACCCAGACTGACAAAGCCAGAGAGAATCTCCTTCTGTTCTCCTTGGTTCACTGAATGCCGCGGCCACGTTCTGCCTCGTTCTCTATCCGTTTCAAGGGGCCTCCGGGCGGCTGCTCTTGTGAGAGCAAGGGGTGCTGTCTGGGGGTGGCTGGCCGTTCTTTGCCCCTAAAGGGTCCGACTCCTGCTAAGCACTTGAACAATCCTGAGCCTGATTCTTCACGGGGCATTTTTGTTTTGTTCATATGGTGCAGGGGAATGGGAAGTGGGCTGCCAAGGGGGGCTGCCGCTGAGCGGGTGCATCTCTATTTGGGCAGTTCGTCTTGCTGGCTGCTGGGCTTTGAGCTACTAGGGGGAGAGGATGAAAAAGGTCGCCTTGCAGAGGGAGACCCACTCTCTCTGTCTTCATCGTCTCCCCCGGAGGGATCTCCTTGGCAGGAAGGGGAAAGGGACGTCCTGTGTGTGTCTCCTCGGGAGGCCTTGCCCAGTGCAAACCCTCCTAGGCTTAAGTCCGTCCAGGAGGGTTTTCCCCCCTTTAGGCCAGTTGCTGGAGCAACGCGGGCTTCGAACGCTTAACTCTGATGCATGGCGCCCCTCCCTCCGCCCCCATTTCCCTCCCTCCGCGGCCGAGGGGCGTCTTGGGACGCGGTGGGGAGGGGCGCAGGGGTCTCCGCGGGCCCCTCTCCCTCCACTCTCGCTCTTGGGTGGGAGGGGGGACGGGTTGGCTGCTGTTGCGCATGCGCTCTCGTGGGCCTAGGGTAAAGTGGGGGTTGGCCGCCATTGCTCGTAACTTAGGAAGCAGAGTTTGTGGGAGGAGTGACGTCCGCCCTGGCCAATGGGCGGCGGGATGGCGCTCGGGAGGGGCGTCTCCGGCCAGGCGAGGGAGCGCGACCGTCTTCCGGCGGGGGGGGGGACGTGGGGG